GTGAAGCAAGGATGTCCATTATCACCACTATTATTCAATATTGTATTAAAAGTGCTAGCTATAGCAATAAGATAAGAAAAAGAAATTGAAGGAATAAAAATAGACAATGAGGAAAACAATGCTATCATTCATTGCAGATATGATGGTATACTTAGAGAACCCTAGACAGTCAACTAAAAAGCTAATTGAAACAATTAACAACTTAAGCAAAGTTGCAGGATATGAAATAAACCCACATAAATTATCAGCATTTCTATATACCAACAAAATTCAGCAACAAGAGATAGAAAGAGAAATTCCATTTAAAATAACTGCAGACAATATAAAATACTTGGGAGTCTATCTGCCAAGACAAACCCAGGAACTATGTGAATACAGTTACAAAACACTTTTCACACAAATAGACAGATCTAGACAATTGGAGAAATATTAATTGCTCATAGGTAGGCTGAGTCAATATAATAAAAATGGCGGTTCTACCTAATTTAGTTTACTTGGTGTTACTTGGTTAAATTACCAAAGAATTAATTTATAAAGCTAGAAAAAACACTAACAAAATTCATCTGGAAGAACAAAAGGTCAAGAATGTCAAGGAAATCAATTTTTTAAAATGTGAAGAAAGGCAGCCTAGCAGTAGCAGATTACAAACTATATTACATAGTGGTAATCATCAAAACAATCTGGTACTGGCTAAGAAATAGAGAAGTGGATCAGTGGCAAAGATTAGGCACACAATACATAGCAGTAAGTGACCATAGTAATCTAGTGTTTAATAAAGGCAAAAATCCAAGATTTGGGAACAAGAACTCATTATTTGACAAAAATTGCTGGGAAAACTGGAAGCAATTTGGCAGGAACTGGTATAAACCAATATCTCACACTATATAACAAGATATGGTTAAAATTGGTACATAATTTAGACATGAAGGGTGATATAAGCAAATTAGGAGAGCATGGAAAATTTTACTTGTCAAATCTATGGAAAGGGAAGAGTTTATGACCAAACAAGAGATAGAGGGAATCACAAGAAGTAAAATAGATAATTTTGATCATATGAAATTAAAAAGCTTTTGCACAAACAAAACTAATGCAGCCAGAATTAGAAGGAAAACAGGAAAAGGGGGGGAGGATTTTGCAGTAAGTTTCTCTGATAAAGTTCTCATTTCTCAAATATATAGAGAACTGAGCCAAATTCCTAAAAATAAGAGCCATTCTCCAATTGATAAGTGGTCAAAAGATATGAACAGGAAATTTTCAGAAGTGAAAATCAAAGATATCTATAGTCACATGAAAAAATGCTCTGAATTACTACTGATTAGAGAAATGCAAATTAAAACAACTCGATACCTCATAACATGACAGAAAAGGAAAATGACAAATACTGGAAGGGATGTGGAAAAATTGGGACATAATGCACTGTTGGTGAAGTTGTGAAATAGCCTAACCATTCTGGAGAAAAATTTGTAGCCCAAAGGGCTATAAAACTGTGCATACCCATTAACCCAGCAAACCTGCTATTAAGCGTGTATTCCAAAATGATCAAAAAAAGGACCTATTTGAACAAAAATATTTATAGCAGCTCCTTTTGTGGTGACAAAGAATTGGAAATGGAAGAAATGACCTTCAGGTGGGGAAAGACTAAACAAGTTGTGGTATGCGATTGTGATGGAATACTATTGTGCTATAAGAGATGATGAGCAGGTTGGTTTCAGAAAAATCTGTAAAGATTTACATGAACTGATGAAGAATGAAGTGAGCAGAACCAGGAAGACATTGTACAAGTAACATCAACTGTGAAAGACTTAGCTACTTGGGGGCAACTAGATGGTGCAGTGGATAGAACACTGGCCCTGGATTCAGGAAGACCTGAGTTCAAATCTGGCCTCAGACACTTGACACTTACTAGCTGTGTGACCCTGGGCAAGTGACTTCACCCCATTGCCACATAGAAAAAAAAAAAGATTTAGCTACTCTAATCAAGACAATGATCTAAGACAATTCCAAAAGACCCATGATAAAAAATGCTATCCACCTCCAGAAAGAGAACTGATGAACTCTGAATGCAGATTGAAGCATACTTTTTAAATTTTCTCTTTCTTATTTATGCACGTGTGTGTTTGCAACATGGCTAATATGGAAATATGCTTTGTATGACCTCACATGTATACTCAAAATCAAATTACTTGCCTTCTCAGGGAGGAAGAAAGGGCAAGAGGGAAGGAGAGAATTTGGAACTCAAAAATTGTTAAATGATTGTTTAAAAAGTTTTTACATGTAATTAGGAAATATCTAATGAAATAAAAATTTTAAATTATTTTTATTCTTTAAAAAGAGCATTTTCACGGTGACAGGCTCAATAAGAGTGAGTCATCTGTGTGACAGGTGATCCTGGGATCATAAGACACATGGTTTCCAGAAAAAGACAGCAGAAATATCATTTCAGTGTACTCTGTTTCCTCCCTCCCATCGAGTCTCTGAAGCTTTGTGATCAGTTCTGGGCACCACTGTTTTAGAAGGATATAGACAAAGTAAAGAGTATAGGTTGAAGACAAATAGGATGGTGAAACAATCATGCTGCATGAGACTTAGCAGGGACATGGGAGCTAAGCTCAAGTATTTAAAAGGCCATCCTGTAGAAGAAAGATTGGATTTGTTAAAGTTTGGGCTCCAGAGGACTTACTTTTCTGAGCACCAGTTATTCCTCACCCCTAGTAGAATGAATAGAAGTTCCCTGAGGGCCAGCAGGCCAGGCTAAGACCTCTCCCAATGGAGATTTCCCTGAGCTGTTGCCAGGGTACATAGATCAGGACAATTAAAACTCAGAGCTCAAGACTGTCACTCCTAGGGCACCTATGACTGACACCAATCTTTAAACTGAGCACCTAGTCTGGAAGGACCTTGGCAACAATAGAAAGTCACAGTGAAAAAAGAATGTATTTCTGTTATCAGTGAGAGAAAGAATATCTAACGTGGTGATACAGCATCCCAGGTGCAAAGCCTTAACTATATTGGGGTAAATGGGGCTTTGCTTAAGGGTGTCATTGAGAGGAGGGTGCTGCCTCCCCATGGTGGGCCTGTCACCTGCTATCTTCATGCCAACTTCATTGAACCCCCAAGTTCCTCTCTCTTCTCCTAGACCTACATTCCTTTATTGTCCCTCCTTCCACCTTTTGCCTTTTCTTTCTTGGCCTCCTCCTTAGCATTGAAGAGTTACAGTCCAGGAGTCCTCAACCATGTTGTTGAGGCTATCGCTGGACAATGGAGCATAGGAATAGACTGCCCTTTGAGCTTCCCTGCCCCTCAATGGAATTTGCCAAAAAATAAGGCAGTTCAGTCATGGCTCAGGCCAGGTGCATTGTCTCTATGGCACTCCTCATGTCAATCACATGTCTACACAAATAGTAATGTCCTTGGTCATGTGGAGAAAACAACGATTCTGCTGAATATGCAGGCAAAGCAATGTTCTTCAAGTATGACCTAGTACTCCATGACTTTTATTGAAGCCAGTCACAGAATTCTAGAACAACGGGGAATTTAGATGTCACTTGATCTACTCCCTTTATTTTGTAGATGAGGCAACTGAAGTTCAGAGAAGGTAATTGAGTTCTTGAAAACCGCTTGGTTAGAATCAATGAATCATACATAACATTTTAGTTCAGGAAAGGACATTGGAGATCTGTTAATCCAACTCTCTCATTGAGCAGATGAGGAAACTGAGCCACTCCCATTGGTGAGTTACTCCTAGAACCACCATTTTTGAGAAAAGGCCCCCGCCAAGCCAGCCAACTTTCCTTCCTCTCCAAGCTCTGCTTCTAAATCTCCAGACTTTGCTACCATACCCATGCCCAGGCATCTCCCTTCTCCACTCCCTCCAACCTTTCAGCTCCCATTCATGTACTGTCTTCCAGCATTAGAATGGCAGCTCTTTGAGGACAAGATCTGTCTTTTTGCTTGTACTTGTATCCCCAGCACTTAGCAGAGGGCCTGGCATATAATAAGTGCCTAACAAATGCTTGTTGAATGACTGACTTACTGAAGATCAGAAAGGACAAATGACTTAGTTGAAGTCCTATAAATGTCTAATCCTAGGCTAAAGTTTAAAAAAAATCACCTACACAGTTGCAAGGTTTGGGAGGAATCATTGAATGTTTAGCAGTTTGCAAAAATATCAGAAAGACTTGAAGATATCTTAGTAAACTGCACGGTCAGTAGGTGCCAATAATGTGATACAGCAACCCAGAGGTCTGATGGAGAGTTGGGCTGGATGATGAGAAGCCTAACTTCTAGAAATAAGTATTATGCTCAGTTCTGGGTGCCATATTGGAAGAGGAACATTGAAAAACTGGAGAGCATCTGGAGAAGGGTAACCAGGGTGGTAAAGGGCCTACCATATAAGGACCTGCTGAAAGAATTGGGGATATTTAAAAGCTTGTAGAAGAGAAGGCTAGGGGATTAGGAGGAAACATGATAGTGTTTTTTAATATTTGAAGATCTGCCATGTGTAAGAGGGATTTAACTTGTGTTTGTCTTCAGAGGGGAGTGATGGGTGGAAACTACAAAGAAGTCAATCTAGATTTGATGTCCATAAAACCTGCCTATTAGTGCTGCCCCAAAGCTCTGCCTCCAGAGCAGATGGGGCTCTCCCTCTCTGGAAGTTCTCAAGCAAACAAAGGTACCATTACCAATTGTCAGGCAGGTCATAGAGCAAAGTATCTTCAAGTACAGGTGGCATGAGATAGCCACTGAAGGTCCAGTTCTGAAATTCTGGGATTTTATGACTCTATGTAGCGAAACATAAATAAATGTTAGGATAAATTAGAAGTATATAGCAAAAACACACCATGTTTTAATGAAAGAAATTAATATCCACACATTTGCACATCTGTACAACTTTGGGGTGAAATATAATTTTAAGCTGTTTACAAATAACATTTAATGCTTCAAATATTACATACTATTGATATTACATTTCTAGCAGAAATAAATATATTGCACTTAAAAAGAAACTCCTTAAATGTTACGTCATAGTGTTATGCTTATAATTTATTTTTTTCATAAAACATTTCCCATGCCCTACCCCCCCCATACACACACTTCATTACATGGTGACTGTTCTCACACAATTAGTTAAATGACAAATGAACACAGCAAACAGCAGAAGGGGGGGTATACATTCTCTTGAATGGACAGCATCCAGTTTTTACCTTTCTGTGAAAATAAATCTTCCTTTAGATTTCTGAGACTCAGAAGAAAGCTACTTTATTATTCAAGTGTGCCAGAGGTGAAATACAACCAAATGTATTTCTTGTCCAGATACTAGATAGAATTCAAAGTTACGTCACAAAAAAAATGTGTGTTGACTTGGCAACCATCTTTTTAGATAACAGCAACATCTTTCAAAGGAAGGGGTATTGGATGGCAGGGAGGGGAGGGGTGGAGCAGAAAGACACAAAGACCATCATGGTTTACCTGCCCACCAAGTAAATATATAGGAAGTTTTAGACTTTGAGCATGCTGAAGAAAAACATAGACCTATTTTCTAAGTAACGTGGGATAGCAGGAAGGACTTGTTCTGATGACTCCCTAAAAATTTCTATGTCTACCATATTGCTAAAGGATTTTCTTTGCTTCTTCAGTTTTCTTGGGCTTTGTTTTTTGTACCCTATTCAAGTACACACAAAATCCTTGCATCTATTTGTGGTTGATTTTCTTCAGGTAATTCCACTTGAACATGATGGTAATATCTGAAATGATGCCATGGGCTAAGCCTGTGAGTTAAATAGCCTGATGCCTAGGACATTTCTCCAAATGGCTAAGCAAATGAAATGGCTATATTTGACCTCCAAAAAGAAACTCTGATTTCTCTGGCTTCTGGACCACATGTAGGCAGGGTTGAGAAGGAAGCTACTGAGACCTCCCCAAAAGGCCTTGCAACTCCCATGGTACAACCCTTTACATAGTCACTTAGATACCACAATAATTTATCCCACGGATATTTTTTAAACTTCCAATACAATGACCTCCTACTAGGGAGACTGGCAGGCTACCCATATATCCAACCCTGTCTCTTTCGTCTCCCTGTTCAGAGTCCAATAAACTGGCCATGTCAGGGTGAGAGCTGGGAAATTTCCAAATAACAATGTTTGGGAGCTGTCAACCTGAACTCACTGACTGAGTTCTCTCTCTCTTTCTCTTTCTCTCTCTCTCTCTCTCTCTCTCTCTCTCTCTCTCTCTCTCTCTCTTTCTCTCTCTTCCTCTGTCTGCCTCATTTATCTTCCCTTCTCCCTCTCTCTTACCTCTAAACAAAAACTAATATCAAAATGGCCTTAGCAGTCTCAGAAATAAAGCTATAAAGGTCATTAGTTTGTATCTCTCTAATTTAGAATTTGTCTGAAGTTTTCCATTGGACTAACTATGGGGGGAAAGTTTGACAAGCAAATGAATAGGATAAATAATATGATATGGAGTCTTGAAAACTATTTGAAAGAAGATATTATAGGCAAGTATTTTTAGAATTATCGGGCAAATTTTTAAAATGTGTTAATTACACCTGGTTTTTATCTGATCATTAGAGTGTATCTCACAAATCTTTTATTGTGTACCACTGTAGGGGATGGGGAGTGAGATGAGTAGAGCATTGTCCTTGAGGTTAGAAGACTTCGTTTGAGTCCCACATCTAGCATGACCTTGGGCAACACTTCTGAGCCTCAGTTTCCTCATCAGTACAATGGTGATAGTAATATCACTCTCTAGTACCTCTCTCACAGGGATGTGAAGCACCAATGAGATGGTGTATATGACAATTCTCTGTAAATCTTATAAACTAAATAAATGTGAGCTATTTTTACTATTAGCTGCATGACCCTGAACAAGTCATTAGTCACTTGCCCTCTTCTGAAAAGGGGATGTGGTGATATTTGCACTACCTCTGACCCTTGTGAGAAGAGTGCTAAATAAATATGAGCTATTATTGGACACAAATTAGCTACTCATTGGTATTAACATGCATATTTCAATTCAGCAATTTAATGAGTATATATTAAGTGCCCACTAAGTGCAAAGTTCTGTATTTTAAAAGAACTGCATTTAAAAAATAAAAATATCTAGAATTTAGACTTTTTTACAGATTCACACTGACATTCCTCTTATTATTTCAAAGTAATGAGTAGCTCTGACAATACTTTCTATGCCAACATGCCATGGAAGTTTCAGGTTGTAAATTCCCGGCATGTTGAGAAAACCATTTGGACCTCCTACAGGAGAAGGGTTTCCATCTAAGAGCCAATTTTACAGGAAAGGATGGGTATGGACTGACTGGGATCCCAATCTCATGTTTCCCTTCCTCCAGCTTAAGTAGTACTAAAAACTTTTTAAAAGACTGGTGTAAAACCTCATGTTTACCAAAGAACAGGCAGAAGAGGGGTATGTTGGTTTCTGACCTATTGGCTTTTGAACTAAACTAATGATTTCATGATCAAAAATTGAAGACATGAAGTTAGAAACAATTTCTGTGAAAGGGGCATTTAACAAAAACATAAAAACCTATCAATGATATGTTGATCTGGGAAGCACCAAATTAGGACTGAGATAATCCTGGCAGTCTCTCTGAAAAGAAGGTTTAGATATGGGCATTCAGTACAATCAATGCAGGAGCCTAACAACCTAGGAGAATATTAGTGAAAGTGGAATCTTACTTGGGCCCATTGCTATTTCAAACAACATTAAAAGAGATATCGGCAACAGACAGAGCCATGACATATTAACACATTCATCCATACTTGCTGGAGATTTACTATATATGCTAACCCAAAATGCTTTCAAATGAGTTGATGCTTTGTAAAGTGTGTCTTGTTTGAAAGTAATTAAAATTGCCCAGGGACTTAATGAGGACAGACAGAGGCTTCTCAGATGGTTTGTTTGAACAATAGATATTTCTCAATAACCAATCTTTGTAACACATCAGAGAAATTCATGTACAAAATTCCAACATGGTCTTATTATCACGCAGACAGTTTATGCAGCATGGCATCGGGGATGCAGAGCTGGTCTTTAAGTATGGAAAACTTGGGTTCAGACCTTGCCTCAAAAACACTCTAGCTATGGCATGTTGGACAAATCACTGCAGGTCTCTAGATCTCATCTGCAGAATGGGGGAGCTGGTCTGTAACCTCTAAAGTTCCTTTGATACTAAATCTATGAGTTTATCACCTATTCTTATAAGCTAGGGGAGATCCAGGGAGGCATTCATATTTGGAGAGCACCAAGCTGATGAAACTGTGGGCACCTAAACAATGAATTTCTTGCACCACCCCAGAAATATGCCTCTATTATCAGCTACCACATTGGAGGTGACATTTATGTCACATAGATTACATAATTCCTTTGCATGCAAGAATGCAGCAGGATAACATCGCATATCGCATCCACCCCCCAAAAAACAATAACAGCAGCAGTAGAAGATTTTTGTGTGTCGCCATAAATGCAGACATTAATTGGCATGTTTTGTCCTATACCTGGAGCCCAAGACATCCACAAAGGCAGTATCATTAAGTCATGGATGTTCTGCTACAAGTTACTGAGGAATAGTAGATTGGTTAACCTGCTGCAATACTATTATAAAAACACCACAAGAATGGATGCAAGACAGTGTCAAGTTGTAGAAGAAGAACCAGCCAGGCAAGGATGACCCTGGACAAGTCACTTAAGGTATAGGTTTCTTTACTCCTAATAAGGGAATTCCCTATACCAATGAAATCACAGCTCAGGCCCCTATACGAAGGCGCAGGTAGCAAGGATGGATACTGAATTCTTTGGTTTGCCAGTTACTTGTATGATTATTTGGATAAAACTCTTCCAGATGAGTATGCCTTGACCAACAAATGATCATCTGTTGTGTTCTCCTCTATTCTTCAAGGTAGGGGAGGATGAAGGGACGGGGGAGAAATATGAACCTCAAACAAAATGAACCTCAAGCATCGCACAATCAAATGAAGAGATCACCAAAATATTTAGCAACCTACAGTGAGTTCCAGATATGAGTTAAGCCATGACTAAATTTGGCACTCAGACATCTCACCCAAAGGTGCATGTCAATCATTAATAGGCGCTAGCTGACCTTGGCAGTGGGTAACATCTGCCTGGTACAGGAGCTGACCTTCAGGAGATGAGAATGTTGCCCAGTCTGACCTTCAAACTTGGGCATTGGTGGCAGGGCTATCCTTCCAGATAAGGTTCAAAGCCTACAATGACAAGTGAAGCAAACCCTCAGATACTGCCTGAGACTGTGTTTTAAAGTGCTCACTGATGAAACTATATGCAGGATATCTTTTTCTTTTTTAAAGAACACCATTTCTGAAAATAAACCTTCAGTTTCAGAGTGCGATGTCTACAGTCTCTTACTTGAAAAAGATGTAGAGAAGCATTTTCCTACGCACACAAAATACAAGAGGTTGAGAGAGAAGGGGAGGAATTGCCGGGACGGAGGGAGGAGGTGAGGTGAGGAGGGACGAATGTCGAGATGAATGGGAGCTAGGTTTGGATGGCTCTGGCCTACCAGTATTACAGAAGGGTGCTGGGAAGTAACTACCACCTAGTCTTGAACAAAAAGACACCGTTCTTTTGGGGGTTGCTTTCTCAGCAAACTAATGCTAAGGTAAACTAAACATGCTCAAGCTACCACATTACAAATATTTCAGTATTGACTCCTGTTATTTACAGGGAGAGATGGTGTTATATGACTATAACCTATGGTATTGCCTCTTGTGAAATTCTTTGAACCTGTGAAAAAATGGAAAGAAATCCTATCCACGTTGGATTTGTCCATGACTGCATCCACAGAGCATCTTACGCACTGCTGATGCATGATGCACTAAACTTTCTCTGAATGTTTCAGATGGGCATTCTGCTAAGTCAAAAATTAGCCCTTCTACAGATGACTGCTGGCCCGTAGTGAGTACGTTATGGTAGCAGTTGATGTGATTATGGGTCCATCTCTCCTCTTGAATGGTTCCATGCCTCATGGAGAGTGTCCCAGCCAACACCACATCCCCACCCTCCATCTTCATACCAAGTCTGCCTATTCTACAACCAGGTTGCCCTCTGCTTGGGCCAGTCATACAAATGGCGTCATCACTGTAGAGGAATGGCGCAGTCCCTGGATGGCAGCATAAGGCCCCTGTTGAAAGTAGTGGTGGTATCTGGGCATGTGGAAGGAAGGGAACGTGGGCCCACTCCCTGGCATGGAGGTAGCGATGGCAGACGGGGCAAGAGGCATCCCTAGGCGGCTGTATGGGGGCAGAGATCCCTGGATGGGGTGAGGAATGGATGTGGCAATGGAGGCAGTACTGGTTCCCAGGGCGGTCAGAGACTGGGGGTGCTGGAATCCAGGGAAACTAGAAGAAGAGGATACCCAGGAACTGAGTGACAAATTGTCAGATGCAGTAAAAGCGGACCCTGTGAACAGAAAAGGAGGCAGTTAACTTCAACATGTAAATCAAGGACTGGAGAGCCCATCACAATTACCTTAAACAGTATTACTATTAAGTATATTTTAAGGGACTCACAAATAATGAAGTGTTTGACTGAAACTGACTAGTGAGTGATATAGGAGGGTGCTTAGAAACAAGCACAGACTGAGATGAATTAATGTTCTTGGGGAAAGGAGCACATTTTGAGGTCTGAGAAATGTAATCCAATTCAATAAATATTTATTGTGCGCCTACTTTATGTGTGACGATACAAAGACAAAAAACAAAACAGTCCCAGCCCTTAAGGTATGCATGTGCACAATATGTAATTACAAAAAATATACAAAGTCATTTTATTGATTAAATGGACAAATGGATAGCAGTGCACTTCCAGAGAGTGACTGAGTCATGGTGGAACTCTAAACAGTGGATACTGATTGACCTTCATCTTTATGATATCACCATGAGCAAATCCAAGAATATAATTTGACCAGCCTGGTGCTAATGACCATAAATTTCACCTTCAACCAAGTAGCCCAGTGGCCAAAGTCATGGACATTCTCTAAAGTTTTATGAGTGCACCCCTCTCAGTTAATAGCATGGAGGATTATAGGTTGTAAAGTTGGAAGGAGCCTCAGAGACCATCTATCTAAACTAACCATCTCATTTAAAGTAAGTAAAGTGAGTAAACTGAGGTCCAGAGAGTTGAATTGCTTTGCTCAGGGCCATTCAAGTAGTGATAGGCAGTGCAATGAGTGCCTCTCGGACATCCTCTTTTCATAACTCAACATTGAAGGCCCCTGCACAATTAATTGGCTTGAAGTTCCAGTCGAGTTAAAATGTCACGATTGTCATCTGGAAGCTATGGAAATAGAGGTTTTATGTACTGGACAAAGGAGATCATAGTCTCAGCATGCCCTGAACTGGTCAGACCACAACTGGGTCACTGGTCACTTCTTTTAGGTGAGGACGTTGGCAAATAGAAATGTGCCCAAAATGGGACCACCTGGAGGGTCAGGAGTCTAGAACTTACATTCTATGACATGGGGATGTTTAGCTAGGGGGAAGAAAGAAAAGAAAACTGACACAGGCTGGCTGTATGATCCTGGACAAGTCACTCCCAGGCAGCTCCCTCAGACAATCAGTGACAAGTGAATCACTCATCTATTTTCGTATTCTCTATGATGATAAAGTCATCCAAACCGAAAACAAAACAAAAAAGGAGCGCATAGTGAGTGGGAGGGGTATGATGGCTCCTGTGGTATAGTGGGTAGCGTACTAGGCTAAGAGTCAGGAAGACCTGCCGGGCTCAAATCCTGACCATGACAGTTACTAGCTCTGTGACCCTGGACAAGTCATTTCACTCTCTCTAAGACTCAGTTTTCTTAGGTATAAAAGAGACCCATTCTGATTCCAAATATATGCTGCTATAGGCTGTCATGTGGAAAAAACATTTTCTCTTTTCTGGATAACTCCAAAGAAGAAATAGAACGAAAAAATGGACAAAATTATAAGAAGGCAGATTTGGTTTGATATGAGGAAGAATTTCCTAACAATTAGAGCCCTTCACATATGCTCTCTTTTGAGGTAGTGAGTTACTTATCACTGGAAATGATCAAGAGGCTGCAAAATTTCTTCTCAGGGCTATGATAGAAAGGATTTCTTCTACCCAACTCTTCATGACCCCATTTAGGATTGGCAAAGATGCTGGAGTGGTTTGTCGTTTCTAAGATACCTGGTGCAATAATTATTATTCCCTATTTTATAGATGAGGAAACTGAGGCTCAAAGAGGCTGAGTGATTTGTTCATGGTCCCCCAGGCAGTGTATGAGGGAGGATTTGAACACGGGTTCCCTGACTGAATGTCCAACACCCTATTCCACCTCTGTCCCTCTAATTTAAGGTTTATTATTTGTGTCCTAGAGTGATGGTGTTCTGTCAGCACCAGGAGCTGCACAACCTGGGAAAGTCCCTGAAATAAGCCTCTGGTATCTACTAGTATAGTATATACACTCTAGTAGGAGTGCTTTAGGTATGAATGATAGTAATCACCACCTTTGTTACCTTCTGCTACAGCTCATCAGCTACAATTCTTTTTTTATAAAGCAAAAAGGGAAACATCAATCTCAAAGATCGGTTTTTCCCATCACAGCGGGCTCAAGTAAATCCATGCACTGATTACAAAGTGTCTCCTTTCTCACCTTGTGGACAAGCCCATCCCCATCGGATCATTCGGCCTCCAGAAGATCTTACCTCGACTTTGTGCTGTCTGGTTCTCATCTCCCAGGACATCCTCTTCTCCCCCGTAGGTACGGATAGGTGAACGGGCATAGGAATGTTTCTGAATCAGACTCTCAACACTTTCCCTGTGTTGGAATAATGACAATAATAATGTTGTTTAGTCAGGTCCAACTCTCTGTGACCCTACGGACCACGCAGTTTTCTTGGCAAAGATGCAGGAAAGGTTTTCCATTTTCTTCTCCAGTAGATAAAGGCAAACAGAGATGAAGTGACTTGCTCAAGATCACCCAACTTGTGTCTGAGGCCAGATTTGAACTCAGGTCTTCCTGACTCCAGACCCAATGCTCTAACCACTGAGGCATCTAGCTGTCCGTTTTAATATAACAATAATAATAACAATAACTAGCATTTGTATGGTATCTACTATGTGTCAAGCACTATACAATCATTGTCTTATTTGATCCTCACAACAACCATGGGAGGTAGGTGTTATTATTATTCCCATTTTACAGCTGAAGAAACTGAGGCAAACAGAGGTTAAGTAACTTGCCCAAGGTCACACAGCTAGTAGGTGTCTAAGGCTGGATTAGAACTCAGGTCTTCCTAACTCCAAGCCCAGTGCTCTATCCACTGTGCTACCTAGCTGTCTCCAATGTAGCAGCAGCAGCAGCAACTGTTATGAATAATTCTCAAAGGTTTTTCTGCACTGACGATCTCATTTGAGCCTGAGTTCACCTTTACAACGAAGGTGCTATCGTGATCAGCATTTGACAGATGAGAAGTTCTTGGTGGGTAAACACATAAGCCCAGGCCACACAGCTAGTCAGTGTCGGAGGTGAGATTTGTGCCCAGGTCTGGCCACTTCCAGGCCCAGCATCTCTCATGATGCCGCGTGACTGCTCAGTGATATCACTGGCATATTGAAAACAGCTTGGTGACTAATGACAGGTTTGTAGATGAGTGAAAGGAGTTTTTAAAAATGTTTTCCCAGCTGGAGCAGGACTGGAAACTGAGTCCTAAAGAGACTCAGTGACTTTCCCACGGCCACACAGTGTTCCACCCTCCAAGAGCTGAGGTCCCAGGGAGATAAAGCAAATGGCTTATCAAGGTCCCAGAGGCGAACATCAGAGGTGGTCCTGCCTTCAGAGTAAACACTCTTTCCACTGTGTTACAGTGCACCTTCAAATGCTTCATATATGATGGGGCCAGCTAGGTGGCACAGTGGTTAGAGCTTTGGGTCTGGAGTCAGGAAGATCTGAGTTTAAATCTGGCCTCAGACACAAGCTGTGTGATATTGGGCAAATCACGTCACCTCTGTTTGGGTAGAACAGTGAGTAGAACACCAGCACTAGAGTCAGGAGGACCCAAGTTCAAATCCAGCCTCAAACACTTGACACCTACAAGCTCTGTCACCCTGGGCAAGTCACTTACGCCCAATAGCCTCTCCAAAAATAACTTGTATCAGGGAACACCTGGTCCAAGAGTGTCACAGAAGACGTGGAAAGGCCAATAGAGCATAATTTTTAAAGAATTTGTGCAGGGAAGTTAGACATAAGAGTGAAAATGCTGCCTAGACTTTTGGATATTAAAATCACACTAAGCCTATGAACCCAAGTGTGAAGCTAATTTGAAGAACTCTGTCACTTACACCCACCACAGGGTACCCTTCAATAGGGCTGGAAGTTAGGAGGTAAGGTGTGAGCAATGTTGGTCAGCAATTCTAGGCTGGATACGACCATGGCTTTCATCCATGATTCCTTCCCTAATGCTGACCTGTGTCGTCGGGGCCCTCGAGTACCGTGAGCCCAGATGCTAGAAGGATACGGTCACCTGTGACTATCCCAATTCATCACAATGATGACGCAAGCTGGGAGAACCAGGATTGAACCCTCGCAGGTACACCGCCCATCTGTAACCAGACTCAGCTGGTCCCATGCACTTTTACTCTACTGTCTCTCAACGCCGATTACAGACCAGTTCTTTCCACATTCTACGAGGCTTCTTACCAACAGCGGGCTCCTCTAAAGACCCCGGCAGGATGACCAGTGCAGTGGTGCCACCTGTCTCCAGGAAGCCCTGACTGAGGGGAGAACAACAGGGAATTCTGCAAGAAGTCCACGGTGCTACCCACACAGCGGCTCTGGGGGAAATGCCCCCATGACACACTTTTTGCCTTTTTTCCATCACTTTCTTAAGTCTAAACAATCAACAAAACCAAGCCTTGATTTGAAGTCCGGCTGATTTCTGAGAGGTAAATGCCCGTGCTGAATATTTAACAATTGACCGGCAAGAACTGGTTAGAGTTGGCTCCCACACATCCTGCCCTCCCCACCCTTCTGTTCTTCCAGCTGTACTCAGTCAGTTTGGGTCAGTCTCTGCAGACCAAAATATCCTTCCCTGACTGCCATGTCCCTTCATGCATGGCCTACATTTATTAGAATGCACATTCTTTGAGGGCAGGGATTGTGCTTATGTTCTGGCATGTGGTAAGCACTTAAAAGCTTTGTTCATTCATTCTTTCATTCACTCATTCCTAGTTTTTTTTCCTTACACAGAGATGTGAGAAAAATGGGGCAGAATTCAGTCAAACAATTCCTCTGCAAGAAGATTCAGGTCGACATGAATATGAACTGATGCTTCTGTGGAGCTTTACATACACTCTCTGTAAGAGTTTTGCAAAATCCTTTGAGGATATCATTATCCTCATTTCGTAGGTGAGGAAACTAAGGCTGAGAGATGAAGCGAATTGTCCCAGGTCAGGCATAATCAGATGACCTGGGTTCAAATCCCTTCTCTAACACTTACTACAGGGGTGACCCTGGGCAAGTCACTTAACTTCTCAAAACCTGATGACCATCTGGCCAATGGTCATGTCCCATCTATAGTTCTCTAAGTTCAAGGGGCATGATTTAAAACTAGGTCTTACCTGGCTCAATCCATTCCGCAAGCTAACAGACTAGCTTGTGCTTATGTGTTGACAAATTAATGCTATTTACCCATCTGCCCTGACACTAACTGGCCAAGGCAAGAACACTCAGCTAAATTACCCACCAAAGGGCAGCCCAAATAGGACATTTCAGACAAGAACAGGAGTCTAACTAATACAATAACATATATTCCCTATTTTTTTAAAAGTCAAATTAGAAACCCAATAACCAAAAACAAACACATAAAAATAATTATGTAAGTAGACAATATAAGGGGAGGGACACCCCACATGAAACCCAAACCACATTGTACTATGCATTTTAATCAAAGCAAAGCCAAACAAAAGCTCTAACAATTTCACTGTGACTTATAACTTACCAATGACGTCACTCTGTTATGCGCTTTTTTCAAATTGTTTGCCCAATTTTAATAAAGAGAGTCAACCTGTCAATTGCAAACACACACACACACACACACACACACATACACACACATACACACATGCACACACACAAATTACCGGGTCTCAAAGACTGTAATAAATTTTGTAATTCCTACTCTATGTTACTATATTCCCTTTGCTCATTTCAGTAGCACCTGTGCTAAAACCAGAATGACGTAGAGATTAATATAGCCCTGAATAAGGAAGACACACAGATTCTGGCAAATGCCATATTTCTGGGATAGGAGCATGACCAAAGAACTCAGATGATACAGAAAAGAGAGGAGAAGGAAGCTCAGATGACAAGAGGGAACACGGCCAAGCATGTCCATTTGGACCCTACTGTTTCCTACTGATATATGTGTTCAAAACAGCCTAGAACAGAAATTCACAGCTTCAGAAATAATTCTCCTTTTTTGTTCCTTGTATATTGGAATGCTCATATTTATTGTTTGTTAATTTCATAATAAAGAATAATATTAAAAAATTTACCAATGTACACTCTCATTAGCCATATTCTCAGGTTCTGGTTTCCCTATAGCCCCATCACTACTGAATTGAATTTTGTCATTTTTTTTCTTTGAAGTTTGTGGCCAATTTCATCTACATAGAGTAGCATCTTGAGGTTGTCTTGATTTTCATTCCTATAATTACCAGGGAATTTAAGGATCTTTACATGATTTTATGGAAGGTAATGCTGTATAGTGGTTAGAGAATTGGCCTTGAAACCAGAAAGCCTCTGGCACATTTTGGCTGCACAACTCATTTTACTCTCAATATTCTGGGTAATTCTCTAAGACTATGAACATGTTGACCTGCATTGGTAGAAGAAGCTTCCTCACTTGGGAGCTCCTGTAAGAACACATACAGTCCCTATCCTCCAAAGGCTGTCTGCTCTATTTCTTTTTATTGTTCTCCATTGGGAGAAAATAATTATAAATATATATGCATATATATGTACATATATATCAGTTACTTATAGATTATGAATATCTCTTCTTTAGTCAAATTATTTGTTGCATTTTCTTCCCATTTGGTTTATTTTCTTTTTGTTTTAAAGATAATGCTTTTTGTTGTGCAAAATCACTATCTTTGTGTAATTGAGTCAATCTATTTTGTCCTTAGTGATTTCTTCCATTTGGTTGATTGATAAAAACATTTCTCATCTCCCTAACAAATCTATTATTCCTTTTCCTTCCAGTTTTTTTAAAAAAAAAAGTTTTTATTTTATATTTAGATCATTGTTCCAGTTAGAATTATCGTGGTGCACAAGTAGAAATCCTTTTTATTTTTTGCCAAGCTGCTCCCCAGTCTATTGTGAGCTGCCCAAATCCAATAGACCAAATACAGTACAGCACAGTACAATTTTTCCAATAATTTTTATTGAATATTGATTCTGTTTCCTAATGTTTTTAGACAGGAGCTTATCAAACAATATTCATATCCACTGGTTTCTCTTTATAGGTGCTCTACGCCACTTTTATGGATCTATTTCCCTATTTTTATAGTACCAGACAGATTTTACACTTACTTCTTTATAATAGCTTTTAAAATCTGGAAGGGCAGGACCCCATCAAACCATTCCCTTTTTCATAGTTCTTAATATTCTTACATATTTACTTTTCCATGTAAATTCTGTTATGACTTTATCTAATTAGATGAAATAGTCTATTGGCATTTTGACTGCTATTGCATTAAATTTGTAAATTAGGTTGGAAAGTATTGGCATTTTTACTATATTTGCTAGACACATCT